AAAAAACTTTTATTTCAACGGCTGTGAATTATGTTCATTCACAGCCTGTAATGAGTCACAAATAGTTTGTAAAGAGTCTGACAGTAATCTGCCACAGTCTTTTGTAATAAGGCTGATAAGCACCCACCTTTATTTTCCTTGAAATGCTGCCAAAGACCTAATTGGTAATTAACTTGGCAAGGCCACAGGGAGCACAGAGTCAAAACGGAGCTTCAGAATTTAAACCAACCACAACGAACAAAGTTGCTTCCTGCAAAGGCTCACGTGCCTTTGCTCCTCCTTTATGTCTTATGGGAGGGGCCAATCATCTCCAAGCCTTACTCCTGAATCACCCCTTTTGTCTTAACTGTTTTTGCCTTCTAGCAGCTCTGCGCATGCGCGCACTGGGAACAGGCTCCCCCTGTTTCTCTGCCTTGCTGATGGAGGCTTGCTCTGGAGGCTCTAGAGGCAGCACATAACTCCCAGATTGCCTTGGCCTCCTCTCTGCCTCCTATGCAGAGCCCTCGTCCGAGCCTTCCCTGTTAAATCCCCTAGAAAGACGAGGCAGGAGGCGTCTGTGGTAAGTTAAACAAAACCGCTTTATTAACAGGCATTCGCAAGCTATATACAAGTAGACCGGCAGCCCCTCCCTGCTTGACAGCTATTTATACGGAGCTGTCAAGCAGGGAGACCAATAGCTGAGCGTTTGACAGCCCGCGCACAGCAGGTCGTCCCTGATTGGTTCCGGCGCGCCTGGCTGTTGCCGAGCTGTCATTTGTAAGTCCGAGGACTTAGCATCTCTTCCCCCCCAGCGAGGGCGCATGCGTCAAAAGTGGCGCATGCGTACTCTTGCAGGTAGGCGGGCGGACGGCAGACATGCCCAGAACACCTCAGTTGAAGAGGCGGCGCTGGAGGGGTAAGACGTCCCCGTAGTAGCTGCTCCCTGGAGGGAGTGGAGCTCTGGGTGACGTCACTGCAGCCTAGCCCAGGAGGCGGAATCCTTGGAAAAGGTAGGCCGGGTGGAGGGGGCGCGGCTTGGGCTGGCGGGTTAGTTTGAACAGTCCAGTAGGCGGCCAGGGGGTTGGGGAGGCCTGACAACGGAAGGCCTAACTGGGCAGAACGAGGGAGAGCGAGGGCGGATTGAGCTGTGGCAAAGGGGTGCTGAGTCCCGGCGCCCAGGCAGGGATGGCCTGACTTGGGGAAGGCCATTGATGGTGCATCTTGCGGAAACAGCGGCAGATCCGGGGCAGGCTGCAAGACGTCAGTGGCTGGCCTCTGCATGTCAGTTTGACTGGAGGTCTCTGGAGGGTGGGGGCACCTCAGTTGATCCAGGTGGCGCCGCTATTCGCAGCCATCGGGTAGGCAGACCCTGTAGGAAATGGAGCCGGTTACATCGGTGATGGTGGCAGGCACCCACCGGGGGTCCCCTGAGTAGTTCCAGGCCCATACCAGATCCCCCACAGCAAAAGAACGGGAGGGGTGCCCCAGGTTGCCAGGCTGAAGTCCTGAATAGAGGGGGTGTAGTCTATCCAGGGTGGTCCGCAGGTACCGACCCATCAACAGCTCCACGGGGCTTTGCCGCGTGAGGGGGCAAGGAGTGGAGTGCTGAGCCAGTAGGTAAGCATCCACTCTTGCCTGCTAGTCGCCACGGTCCAAACAGCCCAAAGCCTCCTTGGCCGACCGGACCACCCTTTCTGCCTGGCCATTGCTGGCCAGATGGTAAGGGGCGACCGGCACGTGGCGGATCCCTTGGGCAGCCAGGAATGCCTGGAAGACTGCGGAAGAGAATTGCGGGCTGTTGTCGGACACTACGATGTCAACCCGTGGGTGGAGAACAAGCGCCGCAAGGCCCGCACCATACTCTCCGCGGTGGTGGAGCGCATAAGCACCAACTCCACCCAGCAAGAGTAGGCATCAACAGCGACCAGGAATACCTGGCCGTGGAAGGGACCCGCAAAATCAAGGTGAAGGTGGGACCAGGGCCCACGCGGCACCTCCCACTCCCGAGAGGAGGCAGAGGGGGGAGTGGGGTGGGACACCTGGCAGGGCTCGCACCTCCCTACCCAGGCCTCGATGTCGTCGTCCAGGCAGGCCTACCAGGCATAACTCTGGGCCAGCACTTTCATGCGCGCCACTCCGAGGTGGTCTGCATGGAGATGCTGGAGGACCTGTTAGCGGAGGGCGGAAGGGATGACCACCCGGTCACCCCATAGAAGGCAACCACAGTGGAGTGATAGCTCCAGCTGATGAGTTTTAAAGGGGCGGCACTCCGAAGAGACGCCCCCTGTAGGCCAGCCCCTCAGGACCCATGCCATGACCTGGGAGAGGACAGAGTCAGCTTGTGAGTAGGTGGCCACATCAGTGGCAGTGAGAGGAAGGTCCAACTTGGCGATGGAGAGGACCAACAGACATGGGACCGGCTGGGGGTCAGAGCAGGGAAGGGGGCAGCAGCTGAGGGCATCAGCATGCCCTAGCTGCTTGTCCGGATGGTATCTCAGCGCGTAGGAATACGCTGCGAGAAACTCCATGCAACGGGTCATCCTGGGAGACAGGATGGGGGGGTCGGCCTATCACCGGCCAAAAACCCAAGGAGTGGCTTATGGTCAGTGTAGAGGGTAAAGTGCCGACCATACTAGTAATTGTGGAACTTTTTAACCCCGGACACCACAGCCAGAGCCTCCTTGTCGATCTGGCTGTAGTTCCTCTCGGCCGAGGAAAGTGTCCGGGAGTAAAAAGCAATGGGGGCCTCTGAGCCATTGGGCAGAACATGGCTCAGGACCGCCCCCAAACCCACAGGAGAGGCGTCACAGGCTAATGTCAGGGGCATCTTGTCGCTATACTGCACTAAGACTGCCTCTGATGTCAGCATGGCCTTGACAGCTGCGAACGCATGCACTTTGCGGCTGCCCAATTGCCAGGCCGCGGATCGGTCGAGCAACCGATGCAGCGGCTCGGCTAGTGACGCCTTGTGAGGGAGAAACGGCACGTAAAAATTTAAAAGGCCGAGGAACGCTTGCAGCTCCGCCTTGGAGGTGGGTGCAGGGGCATTCTTGATGGCCGCAACTTTAGAGGGGGTGGGTGGATTCCCTGGGCGTCAATCATGAAGCCCAGGAATTCCACCCTAGGCACAGCAAAAGAACACTTGCTGAGCTTTAATTTAAGACCCGCGCCCCTGAAACGGTCGAGGACCTTCCGAAGTACTTCGATAAGCCCAAAACCGCTTCTGCACCACCAAAACCTGTAGGAAACAGCATTTCCCCCCATACTGCACCCGCCCCCCATAGCAGCCCAGGGTAGGAATATGAGTCCCCTGATAGTCTCTGAGCACGGTATCCGGGGGAGACAGCTGCATTTTGGGGACTCCCGGGCACAGGCAGGTGAAAGTGGCCCATGATAGGAGAGACCGGGAGGACCCCGAGTCCTCCTCCATGAGGCAGGGGGACCCCTCAATGGAGACCGTGACAGTGATTTTCTTCGTACCAGCCATGGCTTGGCTGACTGACACTGCAGGGGTGGCAGGAAGGTCTTCTCCCAAGGCGTAGCAGTCGGCTCAGCGGGTCTGCTGGTGACTGGGCAGCTGGTTCCTGGGTGGTGCAGGCAGACCGTAGGCCGGTAGAGATGGGTCGGACTGAGTTGGAGGTGGCAGGGTGGCCCAGCAGACTTGGGCCAGGTGCTCTTTCTTGCCGCAATGGCGGCACATCGAAGCCTTGAAGGGGCAAGATGCCCAGGCATGATTGCCGCCACAGCTGAGGCAGGCAGCAGCCGCTGCAGCAGCTCGGGCTTGTGGAGGCTGTTGCCACCGGGAAATGGCTCGGAGGCAGTCGACCTGGTCCTCGTAGATCATATCTGGCAAGGGGCCAGCTCATCTATCAGGCAGGTCGATTGCGGAGAAGGCAGAGGAGGCAGGGAAGGTGATGCAGGCAAAGGAGGCAGGTAGCTGGCCATCTCTATCGTTGACTGCTCCGAGAGTTCCGCAGCCCTAGCCTCATCGACTCCCTGTGGCAAGGTGATGTCTGCCCTGGAGAGGAGGCGCCGCTTGAGGCGGATGTCCTTCACCCCGCAGACAAATTGTCTATCAAGTTGTCCTCCAGATCGGGGAATTTGCATTGCATGGCGGCAACCCGTAGCGACTGGAGGAACTGGCTGATAGATTCAGATTCTTTTTGAACACACCGGCAGAAGGCGTGTGATCTTAGAGGGAGTTGGGGCATAGTGATTCTTTAGCCCCTCCATGAGCTCGTTCCAGCTAAGTTCGTAAATGGGTCGCAGGGCCGCAAAGGAGCGGGCCTTCCCGAACATCTCGGGGCCGCAGGCACTAAGGATGAAGCTGCACTTCTGAGCCTGTGAATACCCCTGCCGGTTATTAGCGATAAGGAAGCATTCAAAACGCTCCAGGAAGGCGGCCCATGGTTCGCCGGCAGTCCCGAATGGAGCGAACGGAGGCATTGTGGCCATAGCTAGATGCCGTTTAAACGATAGCGAGATGCGGCGAGAATTGTCTGGCAGTGCGGAGCGCCTAACAGACTAAGCTTGCTTGCCTCTGTAGGTTGTGACTCAGAGCCAAGATCCCAGCAGCTCGTTGCCAGTGTTAAATCCCCTAGAAAGACGAGGCAGGAGGCGTCTGTGGTAAGTTAAACACAACCGCTTTATTAACAGGCATTCACAAGCTATATATAAGTAGACCGGCACCCCCTCCCTGCTTGAAAGCTATTTATATGGAGCTGTCAAGCAGGGAGACCAATAGCCGCATGTTTGACAGCCCGCGCACAGCAGGTCGCGCCTGATTGGTTCTGGCGTGCCTGGCTGTTGCCGAGCTGTCATTCGTAAGTCCGAGGACTTAGCATTCCCCAGACTCCAGAATAGGCCATGTTCATCCCCAACCTCCTCAGTATCCTACTCTACAGCCAATTCTGCAGGCCACCGGCAGAATACAACAAATCAATAGGAAATGCTATCAAATGTCAGTTTGATAAAAGTCTATGATATCTGGGCTGGATGTCCTCTAGATGAAAACAATAGAGTTTTATGTTTCTCATTGATGTGATCTAGCTATTTTCTGGATATTTGGAGCCCAGATAGGGTAGCTCTAGGATTCTTCCTTTCCTCTAAGCATAGCATTAACATGCCCTAATAACTGATTTTGTTCCCCTGACATATTGTCTTGATACAGGTAGTGTTCAACTTACAACCACAATGGAGCCCAAAATTTATGTTGCTAAGTGAAACATTTTTAAGTGAGTTGTGCCTGATTTTACAATGTTTCTTGACACAGTTGTTAAGTGAATCACTGCAGATGTTAAATTAGCAATATGGTTGTTGAGTGAATCTGGCTTCCCCATTAACTTTGCTCAGAAGTTCATAAAAGATGAGCTCATGACCAGGGACACTGCAGATGTCAATAAATATGAGTCAGTTGCCAAGGATCTGATCATGTGACCATGGGGATGCTGCAACAGTTGTAAGTATGAAAAACCATAATAAGTCACTTTTTTCAGTGCCATTGTAACTTCAAATGGTCATTAAATGAACTGTTGTAGGTTGAAGACTACCTGTACTGTCTTCTGTTCAGATCCAAAGCAGATTAAAGACATTTCAGTTTTTTCTGCCTCCTTCCAACATAATTTCTTGCTATGGTTATTATCTGACATTCTTCATTGACCATTAAGAAGATAACCTGGTCAGGAGTATGGCGCTCCCGTGAGGCTTTTCATTTAAATGTAAAGACCATATTTTAGACATGGATTTAGTGCCCTTTTTAAAAAGTGTTAATCCTGTGCTACACAGAAGATCAATTTAACTAGGAAGGATAGCGGGTTCTGCCAATTGTGTGTTATTGTCCTACTAGAAGGTGATACTTGGTGAGAAGGGAAACAAAGGAGAAGAATCCACCAAGGAGATGCTCCCTCAATAGTGAAGTCTCCCCATTAAAAGACAATACCAGAAGTGGCGAAGAGCCTTGACATATTATTGTAACAAAGGAAGTTACTCTGAAAAAGATCTGAAATCTGAGAGATGGAAATCAAAACCTGATGGATGGACTGCAAATGAAAGTGACAAGTTCACCATGGTATTATCCAAGAACCATTACAAGCAGAGCTGTATTCAAGTATTTAACTTGACATGAGCAGAACTATATTAGGCTGGCCCTGTTAAATCTCTGGCAGTCCACTAAATATTCTGTTTTTCAGCATGAAGATCTACAAGAGATTTTTAACATGTATTGGTCCAAACATATGTTTTACAAGGCTCCTGGATCAGGAATACTGACCAAGCCAATGTTTCTCAATCTTGACAACTTGAAGCTATGTGGACTTCAACTCCCAGAGTTTCAGTCAGTCGTGCTGACTGGGGTATCCTGGGAGTTGAAGTCCACACATCTCCAAGTTGCCAAAGCTGAGAAACACAATATTTCCTGCTCATAGGCCTTCTACAAGTACATGTAGCCTAAGATGCTTACAGAACCTCTGCCACTTTTTGTACTGAATGCATCAAGATGGAGAATGTAGTGAGGTATGCTGAGATGTTGAGGGGTGGACTTAATTCACTAATATTTTCCAGCCCAACTTTGCCAATCTCATTTGAAGGCCTAGAACTTAACCTCCTGAAGCATTGCCCTCCCCTACCCAATTGTTGATGAATAATTTCTAAAAGTACCTTGCAAGCAACATTTTCCTTGATGCTGACAGGGACCCCATAGAGTAACCCTTTCTCTCTCTTTTTAATTTCTTGGAGCTGTTCTTCACACTCTGGGAGGAAGTCTGTCACACAGTTGATCTCCCGGGTTACTGCTAAAGCCTGGGTGAAAAAAGAAGAAAAGCAGAAGAAGGAGGTGATCCAAGAATCATTCTGAATTTTTTAGTTGTTCAGAAAAGGAATTCTGTGAGAAATATACCTCCCCGCCCTGGCTGTACTTTGGTACAAGGCACGCAAATTAAAGAAGGAATGGACAACATACAGTTGGCAAGCTACACAATACAAATAACTCACCTTCATAATCCTGTCTTTTTTTGACAGACATCAAAAACTCAGCTATGTGATCTGGGCTGTAAACTGTAGAAAACGGTGGCATGAAAACAGCAGTATATATTTTATTTTAGGTTTAATGAAACAGCCCCTGCTAAAAAGGTTCCTCAGAAGTCCTGCCTTAATATATGTTTTGGAGCTTTCCACACTATGACTTTGCTCCAACCAGCTTTTTGCTGGTGTTTTCCTTCCTGGGGGGTCAGCTGGGCAGGAAGTCTGCCTACGGGAGAAGGAGGACTACCTGCGATCCGGTTTCCTGGAAACCAAAGGCATCACCTTCCGTTTATCCTTGTTCTCAATCAAAACTGAGTCAAGGGCCTCCCCAAACAACTTGCCCCTTTAAAGCAAGCCAAGAAAAGGATGCAATATCCATCATTTAGTTTGTTTTGGGAAGGCAAGTAGAGGCTTAGACAAAGGAGAAAAAAAAATAAGGCAGAGGGGGAAAAAATCCAACACTGCTGAAAGAAAGAAAAGATACATCAACCAGAATATAACAACAGCTAAAGTAGTGTTTTTCAATTTCAGCAGCTTGGAAGATATGTGGACCTCAACTCCCAGAATTCCCCAGAGAGCCATTTTTGTCTAACATAGTCTAACCTGACTCTCCTGCAAAGTTTAGTTTTGTTTTTTTTTATTATAATTTTTTATTTTTATTACATAAACAACACATACACACAGCAATTAAAAAAAAACAAAACTAAACTTTGCAGGAGAGTCAGGTTAGACTATGTTAGACAAAAATGGCTCTCTGGGGAATTCTGGGAGTTGAGGTCCACATATCTTCCAAGCTGCTGAAATTGAAAAACACTACTTTAGCTGTTGTTATATTCT